ACATATTCCCACAACTATATTACAACATTAATAGCATTGGAATGTAAATAAAGCAACACTGAAAACATACAACACAATGTCCTGAGTTTACCATGGGCTTACAAAAACCAGATTAGTTTCCTAATGCAGATGAAAATTAGATGACCTGGAAAGAGAAAAGCATTAAAGGCAAGTTCTTAGGGACCAATTTCCCTAACATGAACTGCAGTGGATATAATTTACCCCCCCCTTTTTTTTGTTCACCAGACCACAGCTATAAGTGCAACTAAGTACTTGAAATACTTTGTTCCTTTGATTTTAGCAATAAAAATACTAGTTTTAGCTGATTTTGTTTTCTTCTTTGCCCACAATATTTTTTAATCATGGCTGCTTAAAGAAATAACACTGAGTGACTTAGAAGTTATCCTTGCCTAAAGTGCTATAGTGCATTTAGGATTCACATCATAAGAAAGGACACAAGCTAAAGCCCCGTGTCCTGTCCGCTTGTTCTCAAATGTGCGAAGACCCCACCTGTCAATGAACCTTGGTGGCACAAAGTAAGATTTCTATACTAAAGCCTCCTCAGCGCAAGTAATCATAAGTGACAATAAACACACCCAATTGCCTCTGTGGAGAACAATGTTATATCTAGTTGTATGAAAAGCTCACAGTTCTACACCTCTCTGTATATTAAAAACAATTCAGCCATGCTCCTAATTGAAAGTGCATTGCCAAAATCTTCCTGGATTATTTACCATGAGGTCTACTTTATTCTGGTGGTCATAATTTATTTCTTTTTCTTTGGCTTCCATTTTTTGAGGATTCCTTTACAGGGCAGGGGATTCTCTTATACTCCATGACATCGCCGTGAGTAAGGTTATGGCTCACCTTTCAAGTCCTAGTGCATCATTAGGTCAGACTGGATTTTGGAGAGAAATAGATATTCTGCAATTAGATACTAGATCGATGAATCAGATTATGAATAGATAGTGAAGGATTGGTTCATGATACACACATTAAATAGAGGATAAAACAGAAGAGATGCTGCACATGAGGACACCAGCAGTTTCTAGAACAGAAAGTAATCCTTAACCATCTGGAAGGATTTAAATAAAAACTCCTTCCCAGCTATCAAAATTCAGCTGAGGTCAGCAGGGTAGGATTTCAGATTTTAGACTGTATTAACACCAGGACCAAACAAGAAATAAAAATAAGCTGAGTTACAGGAAGAGGGAATGCTGCTTCTCCCCATATTTTCCTTGAAGATACTTTATCTAAGATACAATTAGTCATAAAATGGATGATACTAACATTTTCTTCTATCAGTTTCTCCCTGAGGGACTTCCCACTCAGTAACAAACACAAGTGCTTCTAACATTTGAAAAACCAGGAAATCATTATAAAACCAAACCAGTTGCCAGGGAAGCTTGACTACTCCAGTTTCTGAAACTAATTTAGATTTTAGTATTTTGATATCCCAGATTCTCTTCAAAAACACAGGACACAGATCACAAAACATGCAATTTTTTATTTGAGAAACTCCTTTAACTCCAACTATAATTGACAGTGATATACACTCAAACCAAGTGATTACATGGTCAGCCTAAAGCTGCAATTCCTGGTACAGATCATGTACGAGTCTACTTTTTTCAAACAGGGAATGGAGAAGACAAGTGACATATGACCAAGGCAAAACATAGGCAAGGAATGTAATGGGAAGGGACAAAGAAAGTAATAACAAAAGACAAAATACTCTGTTGAACTACATCCAAGAGGTAGAAGTTCAATTCTACCTCCAGTTGGTATGAAATCATACCCAAGATCTTAAAGAGGGCCACTATGAGTTTGCTGGCTAACTAAATCAGCAGGA